AAGCAATACCACTTTGGGTACATCGGCAACAACAACAATAACTCGGGTATCTTTTTTGTGCTCATTTGCATCGTACACAGGCTTAGGTTGATGGGATTGGTGATTTTTTATTTTTTTTATTTGCTAATTTACATAACTGTTTGCAAAAATTGCACTCCTTTTTGCAAGCAAGCACGAGCTATAGCTTACATCGTGCACAACTTGCATTAACAATACACGGAAAAGATTTTTTTTTTCATCTGTATATACACCTGTATACCTCCCACACAGTTAGTGACACCTACCTCTCTATATCCTCATAAAAGACTTCCACCTAATTAAATATAATTAAATTCCATTTCTGTACCCCCTCCCCCATCAATGACCCCCACCAGTTTCTAACCCTCACCAGGCTCAAACTCCCACCAGTCTCTAACCCCCATCTATCCCGCCCCCCCCCCCCCCCCACCATCAATGACCCCCACCAGTTTCTAACCCTCACCAGGCTCAAACTCCCACCAGTCTCTAACCCCCATCTATCCCGCCCCCCCCCCACCATCAATGACCCCCACCAGTTTCTAACCCCCACCAGGCTCAATCTCCCACCAGTCTATAACCCCCACCTGTACCCCCCACCCCCCCATCACTGACCTCCATCAGTCTCCAGCCCCAACCTATAAACACCACCACCATCATCCCCCCACCCATCAATGACCCCACCTTTCTCTATCCCCCACCTGTAAACACCACCACCTCCAACCTATCAATGGCAGCAAACAGTCACTAACCCCCCCTGTATCTCCCCCCAGATATGGCCCAGGCAGTGGCGTAGCCAGGATCGTCTCAAGGGGGGGGGGTCCAATTTTTACCCGGGGACAAACTTTCGATTTGCACCCCCCCCCCCTCAAACTTTCGATTTGCACCCCCCCCCCCCTCAAACTTTCGATTTGCACCCCCCCCCCCTCAAACTTTCGATTTGCACCCCCCCCCCTCAAACTTTCGATTTGCACCCCCCTTCAAACTTTCGATTTGCACCCCCCTCATACTTTTTATATATACCGAGGGGTCTATGGGGTGGGTTATGACCCCCCCTAACCCCCCCCTGCCTACGCCACTGGGCCCAGGTGAAACACGTCATAGAGCACCAATTCAGTGACCCCCCCACAGTCTCTAACCCCCCCCCCACTCTCTAACCCCCACCTGTATCCCCCCCCCATCAATGACCCCCCCCCACCTGTCACTAACCCCCCCACCCTGTATCTCCCCCCAGATATGGCCCAGGTGAAACACGTCATAGAGCACCAATTCAGTGACCCCCCCCCCACAGTCTCTAACCCCCCCCCCACTCTCTAACCCCCACCTGTATCCCCCCCCCCACATCAATGACCCCCCCCCACCTGTCACTAACCCCCCCCCCCCCCCACCCTGTATCTCCCCCCAGATATGGCCCAGGTGAAACACGTCATAGAGCACCAATTCAGTGACCCCCCCCCCCCACAGTCTCTAACCCCCCCCCCCACTCTCTAACCCCCACCTGTATCCCCCCCCCACATCAATGACCCCCCACTCTCTAACCCCCACCTGTATCTCCCCCAGATATGGCCCAGGTGAAACACGTCATAAAGCACCAATTCAGTGACCCCCCCCCCCCACAGTCTCTAACCCCCCCCCCCCCACTCTCTAACCCCCACCTGTATCCCCCCCCCACATCAATGACCCCCCCCCACTCTCTAACCCCCACCTGTATCTCCCCCAGATATGGCCCAGGTGAAACACGTCATAGAGCACCAATTCAGTGACCCCCCCACAGTCTCTACCCCCCCCCCCCACTCTCTAACCCCCCACCTGTACCCCCCTATCAATGACCTCCCCATATACCAGTCTCTAACCCCCACCTGCACCCCCATCAATGACCCCCACCACTCTCTACCCCACACCTGTAAACACCACCACCCCCATTAATGACCCCCCCCACTCTCTAACCCCCACCTGCACCCCCATCAATGACCCCCACCACTCTCTTCCCCCACACCTGTAAACACCACCACCCCCATTAATGACCCCCCCACTCTCTAACCCCCACCTGTATCTCCCCCCAGATATGGCCCAGGTGAAACACGTCATAGAGCACCAATTTAGACAAGCACCACAACAGAGTTACCTCCCACCTATCCAGGCGCCAGCACCCATCGCAGCAGTACAGGTAGGTCATCCTGCACCTCCCATATGACGTCATGTCACCCGTTGCTACAGTTACATCAGAAACCAGGTCATGTCACACACGGAAGCTCGTCAGTCAAATAGTCAAAAGACTTTTTTCTCCGGGGCTGCACTTGAAATTTTCGGGGGGGGGGTGGGGGGGGGGGGGGGGGGGCGGCCAACAATTTCCGGGGGGGGGGGCGGACACTGTCAAAAGTATATATTTTCTATATAAATTCAATTTCGTTCGGGGGGGGGGGCGGTAGACTTTCTTCGGGGGGGCACCGCCTGGAAGAAACTCTGTATAAGCTCCACCAATGAATAACGTCTTACGATAGTTTGATAAATCAAATTTAGCAGCATTTCACTCTAAATTATACCTTATGAAATGTATTGAAATAGAATTTCATTCCGTCATTCAATACGATTTAAAGTAAAATTAGAAATATTATCTTAAGTTACATGGCTTGTATCTGTGTAGAAATTATAGCCTGCTTTCATGTCTAATTGTGTTCTGTATATTTATGTAAAGCTCCATTTTAAAGTTAACCAATTTTATAAAACGTGTGGAAAAAATGTTTTGTATTTATTTTCACTCCAAATTTAAATGTTTTGAAAAGTACACTAACAAATCACAAAATATAATCTTTTCTAGAGTTTTATGTCTATATATGTAACAAGTGTCTAAGTCTAAGTATCGCAATATAATCGGGGAAGTAAATATATCAAGGCTTAATGCTGACCAAACTAATGATGGGTGAAGAAAACGTACTTCCCCCTTGAATTGACATTTCTCAAAAGGAACGTTTTCATCGCGATTACAATGCGTTTCAATTCCTTAAGAAATATTCAATAGGTTTCTGAATGTCCTATAATATTAAATGATACACGTCACGGGATAATAAATTATATATATTGAACAAAGAACAAAAACATTATGCACTACATTAATTTAACTTTATTCTGGGGTGTTCAAACAAATAAAAAACACCAATGGAAATTTAACGCTGATGATTATTTCAGCTGGAGCACACACAAATTTCCATTAATTTTGGTTTCTTCTATTTCTTTAGCCAATAACATATCTCCCTCAGCCCGTGGCTCACACTGAGCTAGTTCCTATCCAGGCCGTTCAGCAAACTTTAGCGTACCCTACACTCACGGTCAAGTCAATGGACAACCCGAGAAAAGATACCATGTTTAACAAAGCAGGTGAGGACAACTTACACAAGGACAAACACAACAAGAAACACAACAACAAACACAACAAAAAAGACAACAAGAAACACAATATGAAACACAACAACAAACACAACAACAAACACAACAACAAACACAACAACAAACACAACAACAAACACAACAACAAACACTACAACAAACACAACGACAAACATAATACAACAAACACAACAACTAGAACACAACACAATCTAAATCACATTACTAAATTATATCATCTTTAATATATCAACATTGTTGAATATTCGTGTTTAATTTTAAAATCTTTAAAGTGTACTGAATATAAAACATATAGCAAAGATGTTCCATCGATCCTTCTTTATGTCCCCCTACGTGTATTGTAAAGTGTACGTGTTGTTAAGTCTCCTATGAGTGTTCAAAAACTTTACATTGTCGTTATGTATGCTTGTCTCCCCTTCGAGTGTTCTATAATCTTAAAAGCTTATCTACGTATGGTTGGCTCCTCAGTGGGTTGTCTTTAATGTTAAAGTTTTAATTACGTTTTGGTTCTCTCCCCTCTGATTTCTTCCAAATTTAAAAGGATTATTTACGTTGGATTGCCTCCCCTATACGTTGTCTATAATGTTGAAGTTTTATTTACGTTTTGCTTGTCTCCCCTGTACGTTTTCTCTAATAGGTTTATTTACTTCTGTTTGTCTACCCTGTGAGTTGTATTTAAGTTGTAATGACGTCTGTTTGTCTCCCGTAGACTTTATGGATATGATGATGCTACAGAACGCCCAGATGCATCACATGGTCATGCAGCAGATGATGCTGCACCAACTCCCAGGGGCGAGACCCGCCACTATACCTTTTGCTGAGCCCGCCGCCCCTGTAGCACTGGTAGGTGTAGCATTTATGTAGCACTGGTGTGTGTGGTAGCACTGCTAGGTGTAGCTAGTAGATGGAACCGATGTAGCACAAGAATGTGTAGCCAGTTTGTCTCTAATAGGGAAGTACCAGTGTAATACTAGTGAGTATTATTACCGTTGTAGCACTTGTCAGTCAGTGTAGCCAATGAATTACTAGTAGGTGTGGCATATGAAGTACTGAGATTATATGAGTATATGAGATTAGTAGATGCAGTAGCAATTGTAGCATTTGTAGATACAGTAGCAAGTATAGAACAGTCGAGAAAATCCGGAACTCACTAGATCAGGACAGTCTGATTACAAAATCAATTTAATTTTATAGTGCATTTGTCCCTTGTGGAGAAGGATTTCTAGAAATGTGCAATAAATTTCAACTGTAAAAATAATCAAACATTTAAATAGCAGTATACGCATACAGAAAGAATAAGGTACGTAAAATAGCTATGGAAAAAATAAGCTAAATACTTGATTTAAGACAACAGGCATAGATGATTACTCTTTGTTATAAAGCCACGCCTCAATGCTTCCATTTCCACTTTTACTTTGGATTAGAATTAGAAGACAGCAATTAAACACTTAGTAAATGAACGCACAACTGGCTGTCATTTTTTTTTCTTATTTTTCTAATCACGTTCTGATTTATCAAAACATTTATAATTAGCAATCAATTAATTTTTTAACAGATGAGGCCAGCACCATCAGTGTACCACCACCACATCAACAGCCAACCAAACTTCTCCATGCCTCCAATGGACTAGTAAGTATCTACATAGTCAACGTTTTGTACAATCACATTTTAAACACACGTTTATGAGTTAACTTTGTAAAATTTAAGTTCAAATTAAATACACTTTTAAATCGTCTCAACAATTTAAAACGCATCCACATTACAATGATGAATGCCAAACTGTTATTCAATGAAGATTTGTTTATTAAATCATATTCAATAATTTTACTCTACAAATACTATTTTTATTTCTCACTTTCCCCACCCCCACAAGTTTCCTAAACTGCCATTTATATGTCTTGCCTTTTCTTTTTTTGTTACCAGTCGGGGTATGGGTGGTAATGGAGGAGGCTACGGCCGCAGTAAGTATAGCACTTTTTTTTCTTTTTTTTTTCTAGTGATCTTTTTTTCTTAGCATCTTTCTTAATTAAAAATGTCAATTATCCGTTATTATTTCAATAAGACATCGAATGGCTCCGCAAATTTTAACTTGAAGGAAAGTTTTTAAAAAATTCCTCAACAAAATTACTCATTTTAGATAATTAAATTTGTTTCAAAGTGATTTTCTGCAAGAAAACTCAATACCTTTCTAAATTGTATATAAAATATAAATAGTTTTAAATTACCATTGAAATGCATTATCAAAAGACTTTTGGGGAAAATCAGATACAATTACTTAGCTATTCTTGTGATAAGACAAATAGTAAGCACTTATTAATGGTATGAAAAAGAAACTGGCATTCAAAAAGCAATCAAAAGACAGAACAAATGTTTTTAGAAAAAAATTAGGTAGCACATTTTATTCAACTGATTTCAGTTAACCAACAATGGTGGCACCTTGATGCAGTTAACTTGAACTTGATTTTTTTTCAGTTTATTTTCTTTTTGTTTACAGTCTCATGTGCAAATCTATCACGTGACTCGTCCCAGCCAATCAGCGAGACGAATTCGTCTGTTTAATTAGTCAAATCTTAAAAGGCTTAATTTCAGAAAGTTGCATTTAATTTAATGGAGCCATCATTCATTAAATTGATTAAAATAAAGTTTCCAATTTTTTTTTCTCAAAACTTTAAATTTAAATTCGCATTAAATTTCGATTTTTTAAATTAAGTAATACGAGAAGGCCCTCTAGAATGCTAGGCAGTGCTTACTGTAAAAACTAAAAGTTAAGAGCGCTTCAAAAACACATTTTATTTTGTTTCGTTTCAGACTTCAATAGCACAATTTATGATGATGGCTCCAATTATTATCACTACCACTGAGAAGAAGCAAGGATTCTATTGGCTGGTTAATGTGGGACAACTTGTTTGTGATTGGCTGGCAGAGTCACGTGATGATGTGCTGATATAATGTGTTGTTTTGATGCATGAACTAATGTATTTTGAAGTCGTTTTCTTTACTGTAATGCTTCCGATAAATGGTGTTTATTAATGTTTTCGATGTAATGTAAACTATAATTTATTTTAAAATTTGTTTTCACACTTAAAAAATAGTACATAGGCTTCGTAATAACTAAAAAGAAATCATTTAAATTTGCTAATTAAAACCAAAAATAGAAAAAAAACTTTATAGGGACCTGCTTAAAAAATTTGAATATATTTGAAAATAACTACTCAGCAAATTCCCTAATTCAAAACAAAAATTCCTTAAATCTCAAAAGAGACTAATATATTAAATGTTTTTTCCATTAAAATATGAATTTCTTTTACTAAAACCAGTATATGTAAAATAATAGTATCTACTCAAATATATCAATAAATATTGAAATGAAATCTGATACAAAGGTAGTGTCGTTTCACCAAGTGCCTGTTTCTTCCAATATGGTGTATAAAATTTGTGATACAAGTCTGTGATATTTTTCAATTTATGTTTTAAAGTAAATCTTGGAATGGGCTGTTTTATACTGCATTGATTTTTATATACCTTTTTAGTCATTCAATAGGGTAACAATTTTTATAATCCTTACAGAAACAATAGATTTATTTTACAATGTATTTGCTTTTACAAAATAAAATCCCATAAGTAAAACAGTTACTTCAATAGTGTAACACATCAATAAAAGCAAAACTTATTATTTTTTAGTTGGCTTTACAAAAGAAATTATATTAAATTAAAAGTTCACTTTAAAATTTAATTAAAATATAAATACAATTACAGTGTCTCATAATGTCTAAAAAAAATAAGATTTAACTACAAAAATGTTTTACACAGTGTAATGTATTTTGATTTTTATGTAAGTGGAGTTTTATAAGATGTGTTTTATAAGAGGATTAAACCAACTTTAAACTTTTTGAAGTAAAACAGATATTGAGTCAAACGTAGTGACTGTACAAACTGTCTCAAGAATTTTCTAGAAGGTTGTGTTTGCCTTTTACACCATGTTCACACTTGCGACATGTATACTATACATGTCTAGGAAAAATAACTGGCAGCAAGTAAGTATACATGCTCCATGGAACAAAATGTTCATATGTAACATTAACTTGTTACGTGTTTTGTTTTTCTAGATATGTATGGTATACATGTCGCATGGGTAAACTGAGAGATGTTTCTTTCTGTATATAAAATATACTAATTTTTGTATGTGAATTTCTCTTTGTTTAATAATTCATTTCATTCACAAACTTACATAAAGCTCTAAAAATAACCATTCATGAATCTATAATCAATAATACATCATTTTTAAAACTAATTATAGCCTCATTTTAAAACAAAATAGCATACACGTGGTCAATTTTAGAACTTTAAATTTAAAAAATATCGTAAGCCTAAAGATTATGTTAGTGGGAATTTTATAAGTTGCTTTTAATAAAAACGTACTAAAGAAAATCTAAAATTTACTAAACTTTCAACTTTAAAAAAAAATGCTACATGTAAATCTGGTCAATATTATTAATCAGAAACTTATATTTAAAGAATTAGGATGGTAAGGCGTTAAGATTAAAACACTGAAAATTTTACACCTTACATTTTAAATACTTTAATGTGTATGCATATCAACTTTTGAAATAAAATAAAAAAAACCCATACATAGATTTCAACAACATTTAAATTTTATTTTTAAATTTAAACTGCCAGTATCCTGTGTTATGGTTCTTTATAAAAGAACTTTTATAAATTAATAAAATACAGTCATTTAACATGCATTACCCATATACTTTTTCAAATATAATTTTTTGTATGTCTAATGAGGTACTCTATAGCAAATTTCTATACTTTCGTAGATTGTAGATATTTCCCATAAAAAAAATATTTTCTTAGGCTAACACACCGACATTTGGCTGTCCATTAGTTATATCTTTCTCCATCAAAAGTTCCTTTTGTTTAAAAAGTCATTCTCTAACTCTAAACGTATTGAAATAAAATATCCTATTTTTGTTGGTTTTTTTTTTTAAATACAATAAACGTCCAAGTTTTTTTAATTCTTCTACAATGAACTGTAAATTTTGAAGTAATTTCATATATATTTATTTCTAATTCAAAATGTGTACATTCCTAAGTAATTTGACTTTCAATTTAAAACAGAGGTGTCTAAATTAAAGAAATAAATGTTTCAATAAAAATGTTAGATTTTCCTTTCGTTACTATGTCGAGACGAATATGTTGTGTATTGTGAACTGTTCCCTCTTTCGTGTGTTTGTTTAGGTAGATGGTGAAAACACTAATACAAATATCAGACAGGGAATCTGAAGACGGAGCAGTCAGCAAACACTATCAGCAATCTATACTATCAATTATGTTTTACTTTATTAGGGTCTTTGAACCCTGGTGTCTGTCTCACGGGTTATTTGACCCAGTTATTTTGACCCAGTTAGGGTTGTGGTTATTTGACCCAGTTATTTTGACCCAGTTAGGGTTGGGGTTATTTGACCCAGTTATTTTGACCCAGTTAGGGTTGGGGTTATTTGACCCAGTTATTTTGACCCAGTTAGGGTTGGGGTTATTTGACCCAGTTATTTTGACCCAGTTAGGTTTGGGGTTATTTGGCCCAGTTATTTTGACCCAGTTAGGGTTGGGGTTATTTGACCCACTTAGGGTTGGGGTTATTTGACCTAATAAGAGTTAGTATTATTCGACCCAGTAAAGGTAAAGGTTATTTTACATATTAAAGTTTTGGGTTATTTGACCCAGGTAGGGTTAAAATTATTGGACTCAGTAAGAGTTAGGGTAATTTGATCCAGTTAGGGTTAGGGTAATTAGATAACAAAAAAAAAACATTTGGGTGTAACGTTCGTGGCTAAACTTTCGAGGTAGGTTGGTCAAATGTTGAATCTACCAGGGTTTATCCTACCATGGTTTAACATACCGGGTCGAATCTGTCAGGGTTTGAACTACCAGTGTTTAACATACCAAGGTTTAGCCTACCAATGATAAACGTACAGAGTTTTAACCTACCGGGTCAAACCTACCAATGTTTATTCCCCGAGGTTGAATCTAACAAGGTTTAACCTAACCGGTCGAACCTACGAAGGCTCAACCTAACAAGTTTAACCAATCACTTTAACCAAATAGAGTCGAACCTACCAGGATTTACCTACGCTGGTCGTAGTTAACAGGGTTTAACCTACCTATGTTTAACCTACCAGAGTCCAACCTACCACGTTAAATCTAACAGGTTTAGCCTTCCAGTATCCAATCTACCACGCTTAACCTACCTAGGTTTAACTTACCTGGTCGAACCTAACAATGTTCAACCCACCAACGGTAATTGGGTTAAATGTGATTTTGTTGATCAACGTATTGATGTAAACTATACTGAGATTTTCTTCTTGCCCACTCAAGTTGGTCAAGATCCTTATGTTGAATATTTTCCTTGACCAGGCTACGGCAGACGGATGACGAACTTCAGAAGTCGGCCCCCCATGGGGAACAGGGCGCCTGTCGGTAAGGATCATGTGGGGTGGCTTTGTGTACTGTCTGAAATTTGAAAGACCCAGAGGCGTCGCGATGCGGGGGCGGGGGTGGGGGTGGGGACCGTACCGGGTGACACCCGACCTAGCGACGCCACTGGAAAGACGTGTAAAAATGTGGGACCTTTACGCTTTCTGACAAGTATCGAATCGAATTATTTATGCCTTAGTCGGTATAGGTGTACAGGTAATGGCTGAGGTTAGATTTATTGTATGGAGTTTTGATTAGGATTAGGGTTATGATGACTGCTGGATTTAGGGTCAGATTTATGGAGACGTGACCTGGAAGAAGACACCAAGAAGATTGGATACACCTGGAGATAGTTGGAGAGACTAGCCCAGGACAGAGGCGCCTGAAAAGCGGCCTATGTCCCAGGAGGGGCGACAGGCAAACCTAACCTTATCTTATGGTTAGGGTTGGGGTTAGTGTTAGGTTTGGTTCAGGGTTGTGTTTAAGAATTAGGAATATGATTAGTTAAGCGACAGGATTAGGTGACATTGTTTTACCTGTTAGGGTAATTGTCAGGATTAGATTTTTGGTTATGGTATCGAGGTTAGCTACAATACCAGGAATTGGTTTGTGGTGGGGTCCAAGATAGGTCCTAAGGTTATGCTTTTGTTCATAGTTACAGTTACAGTTTATAAAGTGTGCCAATGTCCGTGGCAAAACTGGACATATTGATAAATGACGGGTCATAGTAAGGGTGAGATGGCTATACGGGCAAATATTTAATTGAGGTTTTTTACTACAATCGATATGTGAGTTTAAAAAATTGAATGCTCGAAAACAAATTTTATATTTAGAAAATTATTAGAGATATGTGGCAGAGCAGGGGTCTTCGTCATAGCTATAGCATGGGCCTTGGTCAAGGCTATAGCAGGGGTCTATTATAGCTATAGCAGGGATCTTTGTCATAGCTAGAAGAGGGGTTTCTATCATAGCTATAGCAGGGTTCTTTGTCATAGCTACAGAAGGGGTCTTTGTCATTATATATTACATTTGCAAGAAATGTCGCCATTATGGGTGGTTGGTTAAATAAGTTGCAACTAGTGTGTAGCACGTGTCTTCTCCTAACATAGTACAAAGCTTTATACTTGTTTCAAATGATGAGATTTTATGTTAATTAACAATTTAAGTACATCCATATTGATGGGTGGATGGGGTATTAATTATGACGTAGAGGTGGAATATTTCTTTTTAAATGCACGATCATTTACATAGTCATAGGAGTTATTTCCCTTTTTTTTAAAATTATTGAGCTTTTTAGTGTCACATGCATGTTTATAAGTTATTTTATAAATCAAACCGGATAGCATAGTCTTAATATAACTTGATAAAATGATTTGTATAAAGTTGTGCAACTCATCAACATATTTTTTAAATTATTATTTCCAGTCGTTAGAACAGACAATGTAAGCCAATTACAGTGACCCAGGTAAGGGAACATTTCACATAGAACTAAAACATTTCACATAGAACTAAAACATTTCACATAGAACTAGAACATTTCACATTAACTAAAACATTTCACATAGAACTAAAACATTTCACATAGAACAAAAACATTTCACATAGAACTAAAACATTTCACATAGAACTAAAACATTTCACATAGAACTAAAACATTTCACATAGAACTAAAATATTTCACATAGAACAATCAATTGATGTATTGTTTTCTAAGTCAAAGTAAAGACTCCTCTTTAGAGCTAGGGATCCATTGGCAGATATTGTAGAGTTCGTATGTTTCTTGTCCTCGACATATGAAGGGATCAGAGTTTCTTCCAGGCATCGCTTCGGGGGGGGGGGGGGGGGGGCCAAAGCCCCCCCCCCCCCCGAAAAATTTTACCCCCCCCCCCCCCCGAATAAAATTAAATTTATATATTTTATATAGAAAATATATACTTTTAACAGTGTCCGCCCCCATCCCCCCGAAGAAACTCTACCCCCCCCCCCCCGAAAATTTCAAGTGCCCCCCGGAGAAAAAAGTCTGGAAGAAACACTGGAAGGGATGGTGTGGTCAGCACTATGCCCAGCCGCCTTTACTTTCCCCATCTTAAGTCAGGTGCACATAAAGGGCATTGTTATATGATCAGATTTTAATATACCAGTCAATCTAGTATTTAGTTATTTTCTGGGGGAAAAATACGTATATTAATATATGAATATATATATATATATATATATATATATATATATATATATATATATATATATATATATATATATATATATATATATATGGCTCAGTTATTGTTTGCCTTAAGTTTTAAAGGCTACGTTTTAAAGGTTACACCTCAATATGTTGAGTTAGCAAAGAGGATTTTTAAAAAACCATGATTAAATTCTCTTGTATTACACCTATCTTTGGTAGTTTCTTTTAAAAGGTTGATTATTTTACAGTTTTATCACACACTAAATAAAACTTAAAACGTTTTTCTTTTTTTTTTCTTTCAGAGGGTCCAGTTTAAAGAAATTTTAAGTTGTTTTTATTTTCCTTTATGTTTTCAATTTTTTTATTCGCAGTTGGTTTTTTTGTTGTTGTTTTTTTTTTTCTGCCGTGTATAGTTTCATACATTGCTAATTTGCTTTATTGCTTGTGTTGTGTTAAACGTTTCTATGTTGTTTCCTTGATTTTCATAAAAAATATCGCATCTATAAATAACTTCGTCCTAACCCATTCTATTTAGGTTTGCTAGAAATAGTTTTTCAACTAAACATACAATTAATCTGGATCCTTTTATTCAATGCTCAACTACAAACAACCTGAGGCTATTTGTCTTTATTTATGTATGCTTTATAACAACGTAACGTGCTTACATTGTAACATTTTAGTTACTTTCTAAATTTTAACAATTAATCTGAATATATATATATATATATATATATATATATATATATATATATATATATATATATATATATATAAAGGTGTGTGTGTGTATTCATATAGATGTATATATGAAATATGTAATATCAATAACCAACTTACTGCTATGTTGAAAAATCGCAAGCATTAACACTAAATATAACTTGTTGGCGACTTCCAAAATAACATTTTAAACTTATCAAGGGAGATAAATCTATAACTAGAGACTATAACTATAGAGATTAATAAATTACGTAATTCAAAATGCAATTCATCAATGTTTACGCTACTAAAAATTGTTTAAAAAACAAAAAAATTATTTTGATGAGTCTATTTTTTTATAAATCATAGAATTTAGAATGATATTTTGACTTTAACTTTAACCAAAACCTGTAGTAAAGTTGCATGTTAAATGTCTTACAAACAGAAAATTTATATTAACATCGTTCGGGTGGTTGCGGTGGTTGCTTAGTATTTGTCATGTCAAACAATAAAAAAAAATTTAAATAGCTCAGAACAAAATCCGAAATGAAAATTATTATCACGCAGTACACAGAGACTAACAACAATGTTCTAATCAATATGAACGTTGACTCAAAGTCTTGTGATAAATTACCTATTTTCTAAAGATTATATAATCAGTGACTTTGGATTAATTTCATCTCTACTTATTTAAACTCGTGTGTATTTCCATTTAGAACATTGTGTGTGTGTTATTTTTTTTCTTCACATTTTATACATTGTAAGTACTTTTTTTCTTTCTTATTTCTTGTGTGTGTTGCCTGGCCCCGGGTGGGCCTCACGCACAACTATGTCGGAAAAATACATCAAACGGCTATTCCTGCCTAAGTTTGGCTTGGCAGGACATGCGCCAAAAACTCTAGAGATTTTCATAGAAGAGGGCTTTTCTTTAGCTACTCTCACAGCTGACGAACTAAAAAGAGAGCCATGTATGTTATGTAGCCTATCACCAGCTGAATTTGAAGGTCTGTATAACTATGGGACACTGCGTAAATGGTATGTCACCATTAGATCAAAGGAACTATATGAGAAAATGCACCTAAAAGAATTTCACAGAGATTTGCCACCTGGAGTAACACCCAGATACAGAGTGCAGAGAATATCAATAACCCACGCCGATAAATCTGGGCAAAGGGGCATGCTGAAATGGCTCCCTTCCAAGACAAGTGACGACGATATAATGGCGATTCTGAAATCTATAAGCAGTCAGGACTCAACACCAACATTTAAGAGAATAGACCAATCAAATGTGGTCCAATTCACCATCTCTCTGGAGAAAGAAGATGTGGAGAGTGTCCCACACTATATTATACTTACAAATGAGGCCAACAAGGAGAGCAGAGTCCTTATAATCCTCAATGGGAGGAGGATGCAATGTTGCCACTGCAACACAGACAGGCACCTGCCTAAAATGTGTGAGCATTTGAGGACTCGCGCTCTTGACGGCGTCCAGCTAGTAGATGGACAGTACAGGGCAATTGAGCCTTGGGATGCAAATGATAAAGAAGAAGTTAGGGAGCATCTAAGTAACAATAGAAATTTCTTAAAGCATTGGGACAGTTATGATGTTGACGGAGAAAGACAAAATGAAATGCTTAGAGAAGCAAGGCACAGAGAGGTACAAGATGCCTTTGAAGTAGATGGCCAAACTGAAGCACATCATACTACTGTAGCACCGCAGCAAGTTAACGAAAGCGTAACAGAAACCACCATAGAGGCCGAAGCCATGGAGACAATAGCAACCAGGAATTCCATAGTAACAGGGTCTCAAAAAGATGGGAATCACGAAAATTTGGAGGCTGTCGACGAAACAATAACTAATATTCTTCAAGATAACTCTAGTTCAGAAAACATAACGAAACCGCTAAAGGAAATTAAAAGCTCACAAAGTATGTCAGCAACAAAGGTATCAGGTCAACTGTCATATAGTCAAGCAATCAGTTCAAGTAAAAAACAATTACCTACAGTAAAGCCACCTCAAAGGTTCGTGACCAGGGCCCAACGGGATAGCAAACCAACGGCTGGAAGGTTTGGAATTAAAAGACCACCACCATCCAGCCCTCCAGAAACAGATGTTCGAAAGAAAACCCCAAATAATTCATGCTAAATCTGGCAACATTGAACATCAGGGGGGCTAGGGACAAAACACATTATATAAACAACATAATAAATAAACACAATATTGACATCCTACTTTTACAGGAAACTAAAATTGGAACTACAGAAGAAGCAAATAAACTAGATGCATAATTAATATCGACAGTCTCAAGCAAAACATCACTCGATCAGCCCCCAAGTAATTTAACATTAGAACAGTCTTCTGTTTCCCAGGTTTTTAAAAGTGCACAACCTGAATGGTAGAAAGAGATACACACCTCACCCTCCCCCCCCCCCACACACACACACACTTCCCTCCACTCAACCGGACTGGCGGATATTTCAAGGTAGCGTGCCCTCTTTGTCAAGGGTCAATTTTATGTCATGGAAAGTTTTGGTATGATAGATCAGTAATGTGTATTACAGAGACACTTCTCTTACGGTGGTTTCTATTTCTGTCTACAATGTGAACTTTTGACTCCTCAGCTAAGGACAGAGCACAGTAAACTAAGCAGTCAAGAGAAACCTAGTTTGCACACCTTATTTTAGTCTAGTTCTTATGCCATTTTATTTTCTCCATTTGATTATTATATATGCAATTGATGTTCATGCCTTTGATGCTGTGTAAAATCTATCAAATAAATTATTATTACTGAAAAAAAAAAAAAAAAAAAAAAAAAATTAAATAAAAAAAAAATTTAAAATAATCTATTATGTTTTATGTAGCCTATATGGAGAACACACACCATGAGAACCTTATAATTATAAACAGCACTTGTTTTACACCGTGTCATTAATTTTAACCTTCGGTCTTTGTTAGAACGTTCCAAACCAGCTTTGGTTTAAATTGTTGAATTAACATGCCCTAAACCCCACCTACCCCCCCCCCCCATTTGACGGCCCTATGTCCTCACCCCTCACCCACTCCCTTTACCTCCGTTTCTTTGCTTTAATTCAGGTTTTAAATTCCCCGTTTTACGAAGCATTATGTAAATGATAGAGGTTTTATGCAATTATGTTTAAACGAGAAAAATGGCCCGTTGAGGAAGGATACACCGGGCGCTAGGTTGATAGTGCTGTCTCTTTTCTCTAAACTAAAACCAACCCACCCCCCCCCCCACACACACACCACCCCCCACCCCACCCACCCCACACACCACCCCCCCAAACAGACAGAGCGTTCTTGTCAGACAGACAGCGAAACTATTATATAGAACGAGAAAAATGGCCCGTTGAGGAAGGGTACAACGGGCGCTAGGCTGATAGTGCTGTCTCTTTTCTCTAAACTAAAACCAACCGGGGAGGAAAAAGTCTGAAAGAAACACTGAAACCAACCCACCCCCCACACACCACCCCCCACCCCCCACCCCCACACACCACCCCCCACCCCCCACCCCCACACACACACCACCCCCCACCCCTCCTACCCCCCCCACCCCAAAAAAAAAAACATGTCTACCGTCCCATTCAACGAAATATAATTATATACTTTTTTCAGTGTCCGCCCCCTCCCAGAAAATTCTACCCCGCCCCCGAAAATTTCAAGTACCCCCACTCCTCTCCGGGGAGGAAAAAGTCTGAAAGAAACACTGAAACCAACCCACCCCCCCACACACCACCCCCACACCACCCCCCACACCCCCCCCCTCTCCCACCCCTCCACCACCCCCCCCCCCCCCCCCCCCCAAAAAAAAAACATGTCTAACGTCCCATTGCAAGAAAACCACTTTTTAGATTAGACACATAAATTAGGCGGTAATTTTATTATAGAGTATCGATGAGGAAATTTCTTTTGAGTTGGGGAGGGGGGGGCTCAGACGTTCTTACGCGGGGGTGGGGCTTCGCAGCTACACGAAGAATTGTATGAAAGAAACTCTTCACGCAAACCATTAAGATTAGACAACATTTCCTTTTTATTCAATGTTTACGCGATAATCAATGACGTCATATAACTGTGAGCACTCTCTGGGTTTGAGATTATTTTCTACTCTGTGCTAAATGTGTCGACGTCATACTTCGTTTTTCGAAATACTATGCATGTTTTTAAATTCCTTGTGTTTTCTCTAGAGCGTTCTTGTCAGACAGATAGATACATAAAGAGACAGCGAAACTATTAGTATTAATTTTTTTGTAAATTGGTTTGCTGCAAATCTTGTATATATTTTACTACAGACAAATGCACTCACACACATGTTGATTTTAATTGAAAATAAAAGTATTCAAAAAAAAATATTTAGTAGCCTAAAAAAGTTTTTTTTAAAATCATGCCAAGAAACAATTAAGCAACATGTAGATAAAACAATCAAAGGGGTATTTAAGACCTACTGTCTAATCTGTACACCCATAAAGAAAAGTATCGCTTGCTTACATTTTAATCATTCGCTTATCCTCTTTCTTCTTAATATATCTTGTAACTTCCGTATATATATATATATATATATATATATATATATATATATATATATATATATATATATATATATATATATGTGTGTGTGTGTGTGTGTGTGTGTGTGTGTGTGTGAGTGTGTTTGTGTGTGTGTGTAAATATATAGGCACTATATATATATATATATATATATATAAATATATATATATATATATATATATATATATATACACGTTTTATATTATATGTGCGAAGAGTTGGGTAACTGTGTGCTTAGCTGTGTGCTTGTCACAGAACATTGTTGTTCCTTAAACCCTAGTGAGAAAAGTTTAGTCACAGCCTATGCGATGTGACCATTGAGATATCAAAGCGAAACCGAAAAGTTGTGTAAACAAAATGTGTATAACCTATTGATTTAACCAATAAATAAACCGTGATATTGCTATTAATTTAGTATCTAAAGATATACACAGCTGTAAATGTTTATTTTATTGTTCAAGAGAGGAGGCGTCCGGCCTAGCAGTGTCTTCTTGTTTGGTATCATCCTTAAAGAGATTGTCGCAGCTTTACATAGGATATATTTAAATGTAAGTCGTCATTTATAACATATCTTTACATAGGATATATTTAAATGTAAGTCGTTATATAAACATAACATTACATGTGATATATTTAAATGTAAGTCGTTATATTTAACATAAAATTACATAGGATATATTTAAATGTTAGTCGTTATATTTAACATATCATTACATGGGATATATTTAAATGTAAGTCGTTATTTTTAACATATCATTACATAGGATATATTTAAATGTAAGTCGTCATATATCACATAATATTACATAAGTCATATGAGGTCATCTTGTGCACAACATTAAATTAGATATATTTAAATGTAAGTCGCCATTTTTAACACAACATTACATAGGATATATTTAAATGTAAGTCGTCATTTTAAAAATATCTTTACATAAGTCATATGAGGTCATCTTGTGCACAACATTAACTTAGATATATTTAAAGGTGTGTCGTTCACTTTTACATAGGATATTTTCAAAGATAAGTAGGTTATTCTTTTACGCATCATTACATAGTATATATTTGAACGCGAGTAGGTTAATTGGTATTCAACATTACATAGGATATATGGAGGCAATACAACATTTTCCCACACCCCAGGAGGCAATAAGATCATTTCCAAAATCCTTGAGTCAATATCATCTTTTACCCACACCCATGTACAGCAAACATGATATTTACACACACATCCATCTTTCAGTTAAACTCCACACCTATCTCCACATTTACAGCTACAGAATGTCTTGAATGTATCTCTCCCCCCCCCCCCCCCCACCACACCACACCACAAAAACACACAACACAAAAAACATACCACACGTAAAATCATGTTGCATTTTTCAGTTCTTAAAAAAATTGCTTTATTTACATTTAAACTATACATTCCACGCTAAGTTTAATGCTACATAGTACAATGTTATCATATAACAACAAACTGTTACATTTACATCTTTAACAAAGCATAGTTGCTTCTAATCCTCTTGTTAACTCACCTACAGTTTTTTCTTTCTTAAATCTTCCCAACAGCCGAGCGGTAACATTTACCCCGTGATGCAGGACATTATAGGACCTAGCGCGCAGGACCTGAGTCAGTTGCTCTACGCCCCAGGACCCCCAGAAGACGATCCCAGGGGTCGTGGCAGGGGTCGCCGCGACCCCCGGGACGACCCGAGGGGTCAGCTCATACAAATTCTCCAATACGTTATAGAGAATTTGATCTACCACATGACAGAGATTATGGTAGGTGGCATTCAAATGATGTCATGCATGTGGCATTCAGCAGATGTCTTGCGGTATTTAAATGATGTTGTGAAGCATTTAAATGATGTCATGTTGCATTCAGCAAATGTCATATGGCATTGAGCAGATGTCGTGTGGTATTTAAATAATGTTGTGAGGCATTTAAATGATGTCATGTTGCATTCAGCAAATGTCATGCGGTATTTAAATGATGTTGTGAGGCATTTAAATGATGTCATGTTGCATTCAGCAGATGTCTTGCGGTAATTAAATGATGTTGTGAGGCATTTAAATGATGTCATGTTGCATTCAGCAAATGTCATGCGGTATTTAAATGATGTTGTCAGGCATTCAAATGATGTAATGCATGTGGCATTCAGCAGATGTCATGCGGTATTTAAATGATGTTGTGAGGCATTTAAATGATGTCATGTTGCATTCAGCAAATGTCATGCGGTATTTAAATGATGTTGTGAGGCATTTAAATGATGTCATGTTGCATTCAGCAAATGTCATGCGGTATTTAAATGATGTTGTGAGGCATTTAAATGATGTCATGTTGCATTCAGCAAATGTCATGCGGTATTTAAATGATGTTGTCAGGCATTCAAATGATGTTATGGATGTGGCATTCAGCAGATGTCATGCGGTATTTAAATGATGTTGTGAGGCATTTAAATGATGTCATGTTGCATTCAGCAAACGTCATGCGGTATTTAAATGATGTTGTCAGGCATTCAAATGATGTCATGCATGTGGCATTCAGCAGATGCCATGCGGTATTTAAATGATGTTGTGAGGCATTTAAATGATGTCATGTTGCATTCAGCAAATGTCATGCGGTATTTAAATGATGTTGTCAGGCATTCAAATGATGTTATGGATGTGGCATTCAGCAGATGTCATGCGGTATTTAAATGATGTTGTGAGGCATTTAAATGATGTCATGTTGCATTCAGCAAATGTCATGCGGTATTTAAATGATGTTGTCAGGCATTCAAATGATGTCATGCATGTGGCATTCAGCAGATGCCATGCGGTATTTAAATGATGTTGTGAGGCATTTAAATGATGTCATGTTGCATTCAGCAAATGTCATGCGGTATTTAAATGATGTTGTCAGGCATTCAAATGATGTTATGGATGTGGCATTCAGCAGATGTCATGCGGTATTTAAATGATGTTGTGAGGCATTTAAATGATGTCATGTTGCATTCAGCAAATGTCATGCGGTATTTAAATGATGTTGTCAGGCATTCAAATGATGTCATGCATGTGGCATTCAGCAGATGCCATGCGGTATTTAAATGATGTTGTGAGGTATTTAAATGATGTCATGTTATATTCAGCAAATGTCATATTGCATTCAGCAAATGTCATGTGGTATTCAAATGTGGTATTCAAACGACATATAACTTACTGCTAATATGTGTATAATAATACTCAAATCATGTCTATCATTTTCCGAATGGTATCGTGTTTTCATTTGACAATCCTTTGGGCGGTCTAGATTATTATAAGATTCTCGAACTTTTTTTTATTTTCAAAAAAAATCTAGTATTTGATGTAAAACTCGGCAAATTAGCAAGGCTAATAAAACATGGGAAAGGGTTTTTACTTTTACAACAGGTGTAAACTATTTAAAACACTTCAAGCTCGTTATTTTCTTTAATTTTTTTTTGCTAAAATTTCAGTGGTGTCCCACAGAAAGTGCAATTATTTAATTAGTTCACATTCAAAAACGTAAACGATGTAGACTAGACGCTTTTATTTTGCTTGAGAATTACGACTCATGTTCACTGACCTTGACATTGTCTGTCCTTGTTTAGCCGAAGGCTGGAGTCCTAGGGACCCACAAGAAAGCCGCCGTCTTCGAGATGATCAAAAGTGGGAAGAGGTTTCCTGACGGCTACTTCTGGCAGATAGAACTGGTAACTAGGCAACGGATTCAGGGGTTCTAAACAGCTTTTTTGGCGTACCCCCCCCCCCCCCGTTTGTCTTTACAATAGGCTATTTTTTTAAATGTTGCAACAAACTAGCCATATTTAAGAAACAACATAGGCCTCCCCATCCGGGTCGCTCTCCTTCCCTCCCCACCCATCATCATAATTCTCTTTCAGGCATTTCTTTGAGGGAACTTGGTCCCCTTCCCAAACAGGGTTTCTTCCAGACTTTTTTTCTCCGGTGGGGGGGGGGGGGGCATTGAAATTTTCGGGGGGCGGTAGACTTTCTTCGGGGGGGGGGGGGCTCGGCACCCCCGAAGAGATGCCTGGAAGAAACTCTGTTCCCAAAGCTCGTCCATCGCACATCCCCCCCCCCCTCAAACTCCTCCTTGAATGAACGAAAACTTATATATATTAAATATATATATATATATATATATATATATATATAACAGTGTCCTCTCCCTTCGAAAATTTAAGCCCCCCCCCCCCCCCCATCTCCGAATATTTCAAGTGTCATCCTCTCCGGAGAAAAATGTCTGAAAGTAACACTGATCAACCCCCCACCCCCAACACACACACGGTATTATTGTGTGGTGTTGTTGTATTGTGTTTTAAAGCTATGCTTATATTGGAAATGACAATGGTGATTGTTGTCGAAAGATCAATCGAATGGTAACTGTTCACACTAATTTAGTATTTATTTCGGCTGTTAAATCGAAACTGGGTTCAAGTCAGTAGAACGTCCCTGAGTCTACCCAGCTCTGATGAGTACCTAACTCCCGTTAGGGAAAGTAGAGGCGGCTGGGCATAGTGCTGACCACACTATCCCAGTGTTTAGTTCGGCTGGGCATAGTGCTGACCAAATTTTCCCTTCACATGCTGAGGGCATAGAAACAGATGAGCTCTACTTCACTTGTTCCATGGACCGTCAGGTTCGAAAAGGGAACTTTAAGGTTGTTAAAATGTTATGTTACGTATCAATTAACCCACACACATCGGTTAGGGTTAATGACGTCACGTGTCAATGTCTCTACCCCAGGACCGGCTGCAGTTTGACGGCAACGGCAGGACGTCAAACGTCGGCAACCTGGAGGCTTTCATCCTGTTGGTGGGCATCTTCTTGTCTCGGAGCTTCATCACGACGGTGAGTTATGTCCCTTCCTTACGGTGAGTTAAGTCCCTTCCTTACGGTGAGTTAAGTCCCTTCCTTACGGTGAGTTAAGTCCCTTCTTTACCTTGAGTTAAGTCCCTTCCTTACGGTGAGTTAAGTCCCTTCTTTACGGTGAGTTAAGTCCCTTCCTTACGGTGAGTTAAGTCCCTTCCTTACGGTGAGTTATGTCCCTTCATTACGGTGAGTTAAGTCCCTTCTTTACGGTGAGTTAAGTCCCTTCCCTACGGTGAGTTAAGTAACTTCACAACGGTGAGTTAAGTCCCTTCATTACGGTGAGTTAAGTCCCTTCCTTACGGTGAGTTAAGTCCCTTCCTTACGGTGAGTTAAGTCCCTTCACAACGGTGAGTTAAGTCCCTTCCTTACTGTGAGTTAAGTCCCTTCATTACGGTGAGTTAAGTCCCTTCCTTGCGGTGAGTTAAGTCCCTTCAATACGGTGAGTTAAGTCCCTTCACTACGGTGAGTTGATCTATGTAGAATTAATAAGCCAGTCACTTAGGTGAGTTGGTCAAAGTAAAATTAATTAATTAAGTCTGTCACAAGTCTGAGTTGGGCGAAGAAAAATAAGTTTTTCACTACCGAAAATCCGTTTTACCTACTTCCATTTACAGAACACCAAAGTAAAATGAAAAACGTTTTTTTTTTACTCGGAGTAACATAACTAATTTTTAGAGTTATTTATTTTTTCTAATTTATTTGTCTTTATTTACAATGTCTCTTTAACAATGGCTTTGTAATTTTATAATAATGATTTAGCTGCAGACAATGCGACGTATAGTTGTTGAATAAGACCAAATAATTGTAGGATCTTTTTTTTTAAATTTCTTTTTGAAAAACAAAATAAGCTTGTTAATCATGATTCATCTTTTTCATATTTTGATTAGATATCTTTATAAAATTAGTTTATATATATATATATATATATATATATATATATATATATATATATATATATATATATATATATATATATATATATATATATATATATATATATATATATATATATATATATATATATATATATATATATATATATATATATATACTTTATTTCTTGGTGGGGTGACACAACGAAGTGCCGCACCGGGTTACACCCGACCTAGTTACGCCACTGCTTAAGGCATAGATATTACTACAAGTGTCTATCCTAATTTATCTGACAACACCGCATGTTTTCTATCGTCCCTACAGCTGCTGATGAAGCCCGTAGACTACGGTCTGTCTAACGACCCGCTGACGGATGTTGGTGAAAGAAACCTGAAAATTCTGGCCACCTGCTTGCTGTTTATCGTCAGGAGAGTATCGGTGAGGAGGGAGTCTCCCATGCTGGTGAGTGACGGGGGGGGGGGGTACGGCAAGATGACATCCACGGGGACATCTACATTCATGGGGATCACGTGATTAACTACCGGAAGTCGTTAATGTGTAGAAGTCGTATGGGTCTTATCAATAGTAATATATGGCCCTATATACTTATATAGGTATTTTGAACAAGGAAGATATACTTCATAAAATCCTATGTTGTGTTGCAAAAAGAATATGGGCTAATAATAATTTGACACAATTTTGCATGGAGATAAGAAAACAAATAAAATTAAACAATTTTCCATAAAAATATATAAGTTCAAAGAGCAACATAATAGTTTCCTATACATTTTTAAAAGTTAAAAAGTTATGTGAATTTCATTACTTAGCTATATATACAGTAAAAAAAAAGTATTACAGGTCCCCCTCTATTTATTTAAGTGCAACAGCCAGTAAAATTTGATTTATATATTACTCTAGATAATATGAAGCAGCAGATATTTAAACAATGGCCTATGTAACGAATGCCACCCTTTTGTGTGTTCACAAGTATTTTCTATGATCGAAACATTTATGTATAAAAGATACTTCTACAAATAATTTTATATTGATGGCAAATATTTCAATATAGATATTCATCACTTTTCTAATGACATCATTAGAGTATAAATATTGCACTATTTTTTTAATAATTAATTTTTTTTTACCTTCTGGCAGCCCATGCCAGGTGAAGTGGCCAGATACGTGTATGCTGATGAAGAAATGAGGCCAGTTCACTTACGGTTACGTAGGAGCTATGAATATTGCGAGGTAAATTTATTGTTTCCCTTTATTCTTGATGCGAGAACTTGATCGAGACACCATTTATAGTTTCACGAATGACATTTTTTTTTTTGTAACTTTTGATTATCAGAAACGCCAATTTTGTTTTTCGTTTCAACAGAATCTGCTAAGAGAATGGGGTGCTGAGTACATCAAAAGGCTGAGGCAGGCCGCCAACGTAACGACAACAACCTAAATTTAGAAAAATTAAACTCTCATTGGAACTTTGAACTCTACGGAACCTGTTGAATTAAGAAAGGAGATAAGAATATTGTGAATGTGAACGAAATATGAAAACATTGAACAGAGACTTAATATTTCATATGGTACGTCATCAATGACGTCAAGAGCAGTATTGACAACAGAAAACCTTCATGCTTTAAAACGTGTGCCCAGTCTATAAATAGTAAATAGTAAACATTGAACCAGTTGAGCCACTTTAACGAAAATTTTGATTTTTCCCCCGTATTTGGTATCGTGACTAAAGCTTAGATTTCATCAAAGAGGCCTTTCAAACATTGCAGATATTTTTGCTGTTTAGATGATGAATTATGCATTTATATATGTCAATGTGCATAATGTGCTAAGATCAATACTTTGAATTTGGAAATGGATTTTCTTTTATTGATACTAATATTAAAAAAAAATTATTTCAAAATATGCTTGAAACTGAGCTTAGAAACTATTGTTGAAAAACGTTGCTTCAATCAAACGGCAGTTATAAGGGGAAATAACTTTTCAAGACTCAAAGCAAAGACTTTGGACAGTTTTGACATCATAGTTGAATTTACGAGAATATTTATATAAGCGGCTGTGAATGATTTTACTTGGTTTTTGTGTTATGTTGAACAATTTATGATGTGTTACACTCTGTATATACTAGACCAAATCAAATTATAAATCTGTGATATTTATACATATTTTATGTTTTTAAAAGAACTATATTTATGATTAGTTAATTATTCATCTTTCATGTTTTATGTATCATATTATAAGTATTATTCTATGTATGATTTAGCTCCAGTATTTATTCGATTTAATAAAAAATTAAAATGTATTAATATGAATTTTTAAAATTATTTTTAAATTAAAAAAGATATTGTATTTTAATATCGCTTTGATATTAATTGGAAAATTTTAATCAAATAACACGAGTAAGATAACACATTCAGTTTAGACTCCGCCCTCTTATTGGCTACTTCATGTGTTGTGGTAACGACGTGGTGAAAACTTCGCGGATTGCAGAGAAAAATAAATATTAATAGTAAACAATATTTTCGTATTGTAACAAGTAAACATCAAAACTTATGTAACCAGCTACTAATGGCCTTCACTGTCAAGACGTATTCGATTCTATATTTTGTTAATATCGCTATTAAAAAACAAAACCTAATTCTAACCCTGATTTGACCTTTAGTCCGGATTTTAATTCTAGTATTGATCCTAGTCCAGACCATACCATTATCACAGCCCCCCCCCCCCCAGCCTGACTTTGATACCATCAGAAATTATATATATATATATATATATATATATATATATATATATATATATATATATATATATATATATATATATATATATATATGATTTGATAGTATCTTGATTTAAAACAATTGATTATTTGACACTAATTTATAATAAGTTAGTGTTCTTGTTCGATTTGATAAGATGTATAATTTTAAAAAGAATTGATAATTTGACATTTTAAATTATTTAAAGTAATTTGTTCTTTTTCAATTTGATAGCATCTATATTTTTAAAAATAATTGATAATTTGACATTTTAACTTATTTTCAGTAATTTGTTCTTTTTCAATTTGATAGCATCTATATTTAAAAAAGAATTGATAATTTGACCTTTTAACTTATTTTAAGTAAATTGTTCTTGTTATTGCTTGAAAAGTGCACTTTCCTAAATGAGTTTGTATATTTTATTTATTGTTTTTATTTGGTGCCTATAAGCTAACTGGTACATAGACCAATCCTGACATATACCTTGTTGTATTTCTACGCTAGTGTAAAACATGACATAAACCTAATTCTTTAACCACCTAGCACAACTCTAACTATGACTCAAAACCTCGCTGTTACACAAATCCTAACCCAAATCCTAACCTTAATTGCCATACACTTTAATTTAAAAAAATTAATAAAATATGCTTTTTATACTTCCGTACCGGCTACCATTTAAGTACCATTTACTTTTATGTATTTATATACTTTGGTTTATGAATGAAGTATGATGTGAAAAAATGAAGTTGAAGTTGTAAATATATGTTTTCATGCACAAATGTATACGGGAAGTAACTTTTTAGCTCATTTTTTTCACAGTTCCTTCCCCTGCTTTAGTCTTAATTTTAAGAATTTCATAACTGATTGGTGTATTGTTTGTTATAAGAACTTATGTAATAAAAACATTAATTCTGTACATTAATTATATTCCTTAATTTAGGATTAACTTAAATCAGTTTTAAAATTATATTGACCAAGATGTTAATTAAACGATACATTATTTGCATGTTGTTATTCATTGTATTAACACCACCAACCAGCGAGGTGGGAACGTGGTAGAAACTAACAGAGGCGTAGCTGGGGGAGGGCGGGGAGGGCGGCCGCCCCGGGCGCCGGACCTAGGGGGGCGCCAAAAGGTGTAGAAAAAAAATTAAAAGCTCGTTTTAAGCTGCAAATTTGAATTATAAACAAATTAAAGAAATTTAAAGGCTTAAAGCCTTTGTATACAGATTTAACTGTTTTCTACCTTGGTTGTGTAACTGTAAAACGTATATCTTTAAAAAACAGTGACCGGAAAAACCGCTTTCCAGCTTTACTAGATGGGGAGGGGGGGGCGCTTTTTCGAAGACTAAAATCTGAAAAATTCACACCGGATTAAGGAATAAACCGATATCACCCAGAAAAGAAACCCATTGAACTAAAGCGTATTTTACGATTGTGTAACATAAAAAAAAAGAGTTAGCAGACTGTCGAGCGGGTGGTTGGGAAGCGACACTCTTTGCCAAAATTTTAAGAGAGAAGAAAATTAGAATATTGTACTGATTATTACTTTGTTCAACCTAACTGATAATTCAAAATTGCAGTATTGGCCTACTATTATCGAAATTGTTCTAAACATACGACCAAAAGTACACCAAATAAGGCTTGCACCTTCTACAAAATGCACTCTAAAGCAGTGGTTCTTAACTTTTTGGAGTACCGAACCCAACCAGTTTCATATGCGCAATCACCGAACCCTCCTGAATAGTTGTATCGTCCACAATGACAAAATCCGATCGTGAATCATATGAGTTGGGTGCGTGTCTTGACCTCCGCGGAAGACCTGAGACTGAATTACCAAACCTCTCGGGTTCGATGGAGCCCACTGTTCTAAGCTCTTTTGATTTTCTACTTTTTATTCGTTTCGGCATCTTAAGGGGAATTTAATTGACGTCCAGTGAAGTTAATTGTTAATTTTTTCCCAGACTGTCGCACACACAACAAACACAGACGCATATATATATATATATATATATATATATATATATATATATATATATATATATATATATATATATATATATATATATATATATATATATATATATATATATATATATATATATATATATATATATATATATATATATATATATATATATATATATATATATATATATATATATATATGGGGGCGCCAAACTGAAAGTTCGCTCTGGGCGCCGGGAGGGGTCGCTACGCCTCTGGAAACTAACATGGGTAACCTTGTGTACTAACACTCACAGAGTGATCGCTCATATTAGTATTAGATAATAGACAAGGGAGGCTATCAGGTTTGATTATGTCAGAGAAAGGTAGATATGCCTAACGGCATTCTTTTTTTTTTTAAATAAAAAAAAAGCTTATACATATGCACAACCTGTTATTGAAAAAAACAAATTATATATGTGGTGTTATTATATGTGTTTGCTTCACTTTCTTGCTATGTAAAACAACTCCGGAAAACATTAAGCCGGGCATACCTCATCAGGATTTATAATTAATCTTCTCTCTTTTTATGTTGCTCAGTATACTACTTCGTTCTTCGGTTTTAGATCTATGTAAAAAAAAAAAAAAAAAAAAAAAAAAAAAAAAAATGTAAAAATAAACCATCTTAAATGAATGAAAGTAGGTCTAAAAAAGAAGTATTACTATTGTAAATCTGTATCAGTCCTCACAAGCCGATGATGAAAACTGTAATACTAAAGCGAACATGCAAGGCAAACTGACGCTGTAAATTACATGTCTGAGGCGGGGGAAGAATGTGATATTGATGTAAGTCTTGTTAAATATGGGCTTCAACTGCCTGGAACCAGTTGTCTGCAAAAGCCCGTTCTACCTCCACCATTACATCTTCCACGACCATCCCCTACAGCTTTTCCTTATCCCTAGTGGTCATCCACTTGTCCAGTATCCATTGTCGAGTGGTCTGTTGTCCATCTTCAGAAAGAACATATTTCTAGATCTCAGGCAGATAAGGCTTGATAGCTGAATACAATAACCCATCTAGGAGAGACAACTCCAAAATCAAACAGCTGCCTTGTAGTTCTTGGTTGGACAAAGACTATGGAAGCAAATCCGGAAAGAAAAAAAGACTGAAATCAAAGTTAGAGTACTATATGACGCATAACAAGTTGACACGTAATACTTAGTTGCTTTGGACAAAATCCATTTAAACATTGCAATTGAGAACGAAGTAGAAGAAATCTAGATCTAGATGTTGTTTTGGAGACGCAGAGTGGTTGTATAGTTGTTTCTGTATCAGAAGTATCGAATACATAGCACCAATTTACTATAATGGCGTGGTCTAGTGGTAGTGCATACAACTGTTAACCCAAAAGACTGGAGGTTCGGTTAACGAACTCAAGTCCGCTGTACGAGTCCATCCAGGTCTTTATGGGTACCTGTGAGGGTGGGGGTGAATAGAAGATCTACCGCCACTTGTGAGGTTGGGAAAATGCAGTATAATGTTCTTTATTAAAATTTACACTATCTACTTCCTACCTACTAATCTATACTGTACTACTACTACTTCTATCTAACTGTTCCCTAGCTCTACATATCTCCGACCGTCTCTACCTAACTCTGACCGTTCTCTTTGCTAGCTAACACCGCCGTCTGCGCTGATCTAACTGCTGACCCACGATTCAGTGGTCAGCTGACCGTCCCACGTGACCGGTCAGCTCCTGTCCTTTCATTGGTCTGTCTAACCAACTAGCTATAGCCTGTTTCTACCATACTATCTTGAACTAGTGTCATCACTGTACCTGAATCACTTTAGGCAAAGTAAACACGGCTGGCAGGGGCGGAACTACAGTGCCGCCAGACCCCGCAATGCGGGGGGGCCCAGCCCGTTTAGGGGCCCACAGCCGACGATAATAATTTTTTTTATAGTAAAAAAATAATTTTCTTGTAAAAAACCAAACAGATCTACTACAATAGTGCTATTCTACAGTAGCTAACACACGCTGTTCCGTAAAGGAAAAAAAAATATATAGGCTACATGAGTTGTACATGAGATAGGCAAACATTCAAACCACTTCTATGACTTATTTCCCTTTTTTAAACAGTCAAATATGTGTGCTCTTAAGAAACTTTTAAGAGGTTTGCAATAAACAAATTAAAAAGCAATTACTTCTTTTAATTATTATTAAAAAAACATAATAAAGAATGACATATAGTATAAAAACCAAATGTATTAAAAACGAATAATATAAATACCAAAAAAACATAAAAATAAACATAAGGCGAGAAACCATTACACATACAAAGCTATCATGCTTCATATTCTTTTGACCGTCTTTTATTTTAGACAGCAGTATGTCGAACACTTAAAGAATTTCAAAACAGACTACTAGCACTCACACAAATGATGAATGATGTGTTGTTGTAACATGTATTAATAAATACTAAGAATTTTTTAATTTTTTTGAAATTTCGATCAAGCCCGAATTGAGCATTCTATTTTCATATTTTCGTATTTTGTTTTATATATGCATATATATATATATATATATGCATATATATATATATATATATATATATATATATATATATATATATATATATATATATATATATATATATATATATATTTATATGTATATATATATATATATATATATATATATATATATATATATATATATATATATATATATATATATATATATATATATATATATAATGGGGCCCTACATTTTTTTTTTGCGGGGTGGCCCTTTTTTTCTAGTTCCGCCATTGACGGCTGGACATAAAACTGACTACTATTTAGTTTTATATACCGAGGTCACAGGAACAGATGTACTCTACTTTATCTGAATGGATAAATTACTCCAGTGTTTGCTAGAATTTTACTTTTCTTTAATTTAAACTCGACTACTTTTAAAAACCAAATGCGATCAAACGAAAACGCGTCGAGAAAAACAATTAATTATTCTTCGAACACAATAACTGAACATGGTTATGTAAACAAAGCACAACAAAACAACCAACTTAAGCAAAGTCAACAGAAATATGTCATTGTACTCAAATCAAGGGCAGATAATCAGATTTATTGAAAAAAAGGGAGACAAATGCGACTAGTTTAACAGTATCAGCTCAAGGTATTTGTCAGCAGAACGGTTCATCCCCCCTGGCGGTGATTGATTCCAGTTCCATTTCCCGTGATGAAAGAAACCATCGACCGTTTCTCGAGGTGCCGTCACGTGAAAATCGACTGTTCGTGATGGGATCAGGCGGTCCAACGACACTGACGAACAAAGAAGTGGACGGCAGTGCGAACACTGAGCAAGTAGAGTTTAATGAGACGAGAATATTATATCGTGTTCAGCTATAAACTAAACTGGCATGAATGTCACTCATCTACTTTACGTTTTAATATTATCTACATTACATTTTTATCGAGCTAAATTGTACGTATTCTAATTATTGTAATTCCATACGTTTATAGCAATATTTGTATGGCCATATTACATATATAGATAGAGGCGAGGCGGGGGCGGAGGTGCGGACCGCACCTGGTGACACCATTTAGTAGGGTGACACCTAGACAAAAAAATTGCAAAATATATTGAAGAAATAAATCAAATAAATGCTGCATTGTAGTTTGTTCTCGGTGGGACAAAGACTAAGGAAGCAAATCAGTGTTTCTTCCAGACTTTTTTCTCCGGGGGGGGGGGCACTTGGAATTTTCGGGGGGGGGGGGCGGTAGACTTTCTTCGGGGGGGGGGGGGGGGGACACTGTTAAAAGTATATATTTTCTATATAAATTATATAAATTTCATTTCGTCCGGGGGGGGGGGGCGGTAAAAATTTTTCGGGGGAGCTAAGCCCCCCCCCCCCCCCCCCCCCGAAGAGATGCCTGGAAGAAACTCGGAAGCAAATCCAGAAAGAAAAGCAGGCTGTAATCGGAGTCAACAAGTTATGGCGCATAAAAAGTTGATCCGTAAAAATGAATTGTGTTGAAGGAAATTCCTTTTAACATTATAATTAAGAACAAAGCAGAAGAAGACGAAAGATTTGAAATAGTTTTGAACTTTTAATATTAAACAATCTGGCAAACAATAACTTTTACCGGAAGTAGATTTTAGATTGTTAAGATCAGACGAGAACATTCACATTGTAACTTTGTAAAACCGACCTTATTGACAAGTAAAAAGATTCTCTAGTTCTAGAATCTAGCTATTCTAGATCTAGTTTTCCAGATCTAGATCTAGATCTAGATCTAGTTTGTTCTTCTTGAGATAAATAAAACTTGTTTAGTAAAAGGTTTAGTTAATCTATAATTTAGTTAGACTAAGTCTCACTAAGTCTGCAAGTGCAAAATGGCGGGCTAAGTCATTCTTAATTCTAGAAATCAAGATCTAGATATAGATCTAGATCTGTCTAGAATCTCTAGATCTAGCTAGGTCTAGAGGCTAGATTAGATCTAATTTGAATAATTTCTAAATAAAGTCTAGCGTCTACGAGCTAACGGCAGTCTGGCCATTGGCCCTAGTCGCCCCTTGGCCCTAGTCGCCCCCTGCCCTAGTCAATCAAAATCTAGATCTAGATTTCTAGCTCAAGACTAGAATCTAGATCTATATCTAGAATATAGAATCCAGAGTTTCTTCCAGGCAACTCTTCGAAAATTTTTACCGCCCCCCCGAACGAAATGAAATTTATATAACTTATATAGAAAATATATACTTTTAAGTTTTTAACAGTGTCCGCCACCCCCCCCCCCCTCCCCGAAAAAAGTCTACCGCCCCCCCGAAAATTTCAAGTGCCCCCCCCGGAGAAAAAAGTCTGAAAGAAACACTGATAGCATCTAAACTAGAATAGTCTAACTCTAAGCTCTAAGAATAGATCTAGCAGTGTAATTTTTGGGGAGTGGTCTGAAATTTCCGGGGGGGGGGGGGGGGGGGGGGGGGGGCGGGCGGTCACTGTTAAAAGTATATTTTTTCAATATAAATTCCATTTCGTGGGGGGGGGGGGGGTCACTAAGCCCCCCCCCCCCCCCCCGCAGAGATGCCTGGAAGAAACTCTAGTCTAGAGTAGAATCTAAGTTAGACCAAATTTTTAATTCTAAGCCTAGCTATCTATTCCTAAGGTGATTAGTACTTAGATTTCTTGTAGTGGTGACCAGAATCTAGATCTGGTGTAGAGTCTTGAATCTAATCTAGATATCTATAATCTAGTCTAGATCAAGATATCCAGATAAGATCTAGAAGTTTGTTTCATTCAAATGAAATCTATAGCTTAATATAGATCTAGACTAGTAATACTAATAGAATCTAGATCTAATACTAATCTAGATTTATATATCTAGGACTAGATATCAAGAATCTATAATTATTGTTAATAATTGAAATTTTAAGTTTTGTTGTTAATTGATAAGGGCTGAAAAGTGTCTGCACTCAGTACATAACAATAACAAAAGCCATCAGTAAAATTTCAATTAAAAAGAAAATCTAATAAGTAATTAGACTAGAATCTAGATCCTAGATCTATTTAAATCTATCAATTCATTATTAAATCTAGATCTAGATAGCTAAATTAGTTAGGGGAATAGTGGTTTAAATGTTTGTATCACTCACCATACAAAATATAGACTACTCACTTCAATGAATATTCTAGATTCTAGATAAGATATCTAACTTAGATTTTTAGATCTTAAATGTAGATAATCTCTAGTCTAGATCTTGATCTGATTATTATAAAGGCCTAATAATATATCATAAGTTCTATATTTAATGGTTTGATCTTTTTATTTATCATTGTAAAAAAGATCTGCTACAATGTTATAAACTTATAGGAATAGGCTACTATTTTAAATAATAAATAGGCCTAGATCAATGTAATTTAAATGTTTTGAATTTCAGATTAGGATTTGACAAATTAGTTGAGATGGAACAATCATGCCAGACTTCAGGTGAGGATCAATTTATTTTAATAATACTAATTATAATTAATTATAATAGGTGTGGAAAAGTAAAAGTAGCTGGACAGAGTGATGACCACATTATCCCTTCATGTGCAGAGGTAACACACCTGCTCCACGGGCCGCTAGGTTTTAAGGGAAACATGACTTTACTTTATAGGTGTCAAAAAGGTTTTTTTAAAAAAAATCAATAATGAGAGCTTGTTTTGCTTAGTGATGTTTAGTTCCAAAGTAAACCTAAAACTGATGTTGGGTTGGAATAAAATAAAAAATTTCTGTACATTACCCAGCAATATTAGTTATTTTTGTTAGTTATTTATTAAAGACATAGATTTTTATCATTTTATTACCAATAAAGTTGTTTTGTTTTTTTTTAACACTAGGAATACTAACTAATTTAATCCAAGTTAGTAAAATTGGAAATAAAGGTTTGTAGGGCCTATATAAATAACAATAAAACTATATTTTCTAATGGGTATGATAGTAAGTAGGCACTTTAGAGTTTTTTTACATTGTATTTCTAGCTTTAAAGTAGCCTAAATTATGTTTAAAAAAAAGTAAATGTCCACCTCAGTTCCTGAATTTCTCTGTCTCCCCCAAAATGTGTGGGTTGGATTGGAAACTTCTAGTTGTATTTCTCATACAAACCTTTTTTGTATTCAATCTTATTTCTATTTTAGCCAGTGATATTTTTTGGGGACATGCATTCCAGACTTTCATAGAGGTGATTAGAAGTAAGTGTTACATACAAATATATTACATACAAAAATATTTGTACATACGCACATGCTTTTTGTATGTTGCTGTGTTTAAAAAAAAGAAAGGAAATTCATGGACTTTTACCATATTAACATTCAATTTACATTGTGTCGTTTTAATATGGAAAACATTACAAAGCGTCTTTCAAATTTTATTTATTTATTTTAAGTGCTTGTGGATATGCAATATAGTTTTAGATTTTGTGCATGATGCACCAATAAATCAGGTGTTCCATTTCTAAGCTGACCATACACAATTGTCTTTAAGAGAAACACAGACTCCCAAAAACCAGTCGTACACAATTACACACCAAACTGACACAACATTTTTACTTGTTACCAATATTATTTTTTAAGAAGCCCCTGGGTGTGCTGTATCAAAACCTTGAGTGTACATTGATCACCTTCAGATAGAACACAACTTGATAACGGCCCAGGTGTCAGGGGTGTTAGTGGGCACTAGTGCAAGACACACATTGCGTGGCACTTGTTTGAGATACACATTGTGTGGCACTAGTGCAAGACACCTGTTACACTATTGATTATAGTAGCCCATCTATCCCTTTGTAGGATGCTCTTTAATCCTTTATCTACTGACGGTACTTATAAGTACCACTTTAACTTGATAACTGCCCAGGTGTCAGGGGTGTTGGTGGACACTAGTGCGAGACACACATTACGTGGCACTAGTGCAAGACACCTGTTACACTATTGATTATAGTAGCCCATCTATCCCTTTGTAGGGTGCTCTTTAAAACAAATAGTGCTCACGCATGAGCCTGAGGTGCTCTAAAAATTGTTTATGGCAGAAACCTTTGTTGGAATGTACTTGGATGAATGTTGTATTAATGCATAAATGACACGCACAAAGGTCATTTACATAGATTTACATAGATAAAATTGTAATGTTTAACCATCCATCTCTCCTATTTCAAACATCCTTTAAAAATACTCTACCATTTATCCACTACCTCTGCACACTTTAATATATAGTTATGTATGTATGTATATATGTTATTTATGAGTAATATGTTTCGCAGTGATCGTCATTCTCTCATTGTTTTGGAAACAAGTCAAAAGTAAGTGCATTCCAAATTTTCATTCCCACTGCTGGTTCAGAATTTATTGTAGACGATACATTAGTTACACTCTTATAATGCTTACTGTTTCATAATTTTTTGTTACTATTGTTAATCAAGTTAATGTTTACATTTTATTTTCTGATTATCTGTGCAAAGGAAGATTAACTTCATTTCAGTCTTCCTTTTTTAATTTTATCGACTTTTATTTTAGTTTTATAGTAATTCATTTAAATCAGCTGTGTATCTACATTTTTGTTGTTAGTTTTTATTAAGATTATTTCTTTATGTCTGGACTTTTTACCTTGAAATTTTATTATTTGCAGAATTTATTTATTCTGAGAAGGATGAAAAGCTTGGTAAGTCATCTTTTTTCCCTATAACTATAAATGTGCCAACTAGGTGGGCTTTAAGTCCTCTTGTCCCTTAATCAGAAATTAATTAAACCCATTAAACATGCAACAGTGCCAACTTACAATTTCTAAGTCTATCAAATGAAAAATAAAGTTTAATTTTAAAAATCTTAAAACTAATGAACAGTTGGTACTACTTCATACGTATTAATTAGCTTACCGGAAAAAAATTGTCATTGGTGTTGGCTGAAGCCTATGATTATGATTTTTTTTACATCTATTTAAATTTCCATTTTCAGAACAAATTGAGAAGGTGAGAAAAGGTGTTGATAAAATACTTAAAATGGGTAAGTAACTTTTTGTACAAATTTTTGTATTCAAATCCCCACAGAGAAAAAAAACTCTAATTGTAAATAATTTTATGTATAAAAAGGTTATAAGAAGTTGTCCTCAGCTCTTGTAGTAACACCAAGTAGGTAAAGTACTGAATTAAACCTGTGATAGGTGAAGATGAGTTCACCTGTGACCTCACCAAATGAAGAGATAGTGTGGTCAGCACTATACCCAGCAGCCTTTACTTCCCCAAAGATACCCATCAATTGGGAGATGCAGGGACATTCTACGGTCACTGATAAGAATCTAGGATACTCTACCAATCACCATGCCGTTCCATGTTGAAATTAGTGACTATAATTTTTCTCTTAAATTGTCATTAACTTTTTATGTTTTAGTTGAAGAATTGAATGTTGAGTCAGAGGAAAGACAGTTAATCTTTCAGGAAATACTAAGTACTGGTAAGTAACATTTGTATAAAAAATTCTCTTTAGCTGCACTATCACACAATTAAATACCTAATTTGAATACTTAAAATGTTTAGGAAGTCTAAAGATTTTTTTTGGCATTGTGGAGCTGATACAGTTGTTTATATTTTTAAAAATGTTAAAATTTCTTCCATTTTTCAGTTAGAGAAATAAACAGAAAAATAGATGAAAAAAATCTAAAAGAGGACTTGTAAGTTATTGTTTTATTTGTATAATAGTTGTATGATTTATTTTCAATTCACACTTTTTTATACTCAAAAATCATACTTACCACCCATGACATGTCTCAGGCTAATTAATTGTTATCCTTTTTCTGTAATGTGAACTTTTTTACTGATGATTTTAGTAAACTTGAATACAAACTTCTTAAATGTAGCTGTTCATATTCAATTTTGTAGTGTATCTTAATACCATTTGGTTATTTGCAGGCTATAAATGAAAATTCCAAGAGCCGCAAAATATGTGTAGAAGAGTTAAATAAAATTTCTGTTTCTAATATCCAGTTTAAAATTTTGTAACTCTGTTTTTAAGGGCAATGAAAGAGAACATGCTTTTAGAGGACTAGCTGGCTGTGTTGTACTTACAGACTAAATGATATACTGCAGCAATCACATTAGCATGAACACCTTGTTATCACTGTGTTGCTTGTATTTGGAGTAGAAGGAGATATACTTGTTTGTATAGGGCCAATGCCTTGTGATGTTTTTGTGTACCTAACACTCTCCATTGTCAGAAGCTAAAACACCTATTGTATAATCTTTTTTTTTTTTTGCAATTATTGTTTGCACCGGTATATTGATATCTATTTATAAGTGATGAAAATTTTTAATTTTCATAGTGCATAACTATAGCTGTTTAAAATCAGTTTTATAGAAAATTACTTTTTATTGATACTAAATTGCTATAAACTATAATGTATTATAATGGCAACAGCTATTACAATAGGTAAAAAGTATGTTTAAAATTTGAAGTTCTGAGCTAATCAAAAATGCCCAATGTATTCAATTTCTAATGGAAACAAGTAAATTATTATACCCCTTTCAAATAAAGATAACTGATAAATCATTTAAAATTGCAAATAATTACCAATGGCGAAACTGGTTATAATTGTTGTTTAGATCTGACATTTTTTTTAATAGAGGCCTGTTTTTTTCTAGTAAACTCACTATTTGTGGTATTAATTTTTAACAAACTGTTCAGGTTAGTTTTAATCATATTGTTTCAACATGTTGGCACCACTTTTTGAATTAGATACAAACTACCAATTTTAAATATTTTAAAAAATCATGATTTGTTTGAGATTTGTTTCAAGACTGATACACTAACATGCAACATTATTGTGTAGAATCCTAGTAAAGACAAATTTGTTTCATGATATAATGTATTCAATTGAAATTTCATTTTTAACACAAAATTTGTGTGTGATTTAAATAATATCTTTACAAAAAATGTATAGTTATAAAAGACCTCAGTAAAGAATGTATTGTAATTATACTTTTCTTCTACATTATTAGACGTTGAGCATATTTTGAAAACTATCAACTGATGGTACTAATGATTATTAATAAATACTGTTATCACATTTTATTTTTTACAGTAATCAAAATAACATAAAAATTCAGTCCAGTTGTATTTTTGTTTGTGATTTTCAATGATCTCACTATTGTTGGCCTATTAACTAAATTATGTGATGCCATTTAAATAAAGGGGTGATGTATGTATGTGTGTGACATAATTGTAGTGTAACACTGGTAAAAAGTTGCATATGTGTATGATAGTTTCTTTTTAATTTACTCATAATATGTGGATTTTCATATGTATTGCTATTTCAAACCTTTTGAGTTATTAAATTTTTAAATGGTAGTTTTGTTCCGTTTTTTTTTTAATTCAGTTTTTCTCATAATAAAAATCAAGCATTAACGGAATCATCAGATACAGAAGATGGGGACGGTTGGGTCAGGTGCTGAGATGAGAGTTGACCATTGTCCAGGTCAGCTTTCAGGGGTACACTACAAGGCAAGAGAAAAAGTACGAGGCTGAAAGATATATGAAGATGATTTAAGAAAGTTAACGGAAAGAGGCCTAAGTTCAAACATTCTAACAGGCAGAGGTTATAGTTCAGCTAAAGACAAGACCAAATGGCGCTCACTAGTTGATGCCTCCTCGTTCGTTAATTAGCGTCGAGAGATGATGATTTCAGTGCGTGTGTTTAATGGGAAATCAAGTATGATGAACCATACACTTTTTAAAACGTTTTTAAATTGCATAGGCCACATTAAAAAAAAAAGGAAAAAAATTTGAAACTAATAACGGCTAGTCCCAACTTTTTAAAAATTTTAGCTAGAGCTGTGGTGTCGAAATAAATAAATAAATAGGCCTAGATATCAGAGTTTCTTCCAGGCATCTCCCTTTCCCCCCCCCCCCCCCCCCCAAAGAAAGTCTACCGCCCCTCCCCCCTAACGAAATGGAATTTATATAGAAAATATATACTTTTAACAGTGTCGTCGACCCCTGAAAATTTTAGTCCGCCCCCCCCCCCCCCCCCCCCCCCCCAGAGAAAAAAGTCTGGAAGAAACTGCTAGATATCATCGTATACAGGAAAATACGGATATATTGGGAATAGTGTATCAACAGCTACATCAAAAGATTAAAATTTGTTATATTAAGAGTTTGGGTTAGTGAGTGAACTAATGAGTTGGGGAGATACATGCCGCATAGATTGACACAACGATATGTTGACGGATTTAGGGTAAGTTAGAATTTAGACTCATACAGGCAATTAGACAGAAAGCATGACGTTTACCGACAGGTATAAGGATTTGTATAGAACTTGAATATCCTTGGGGTAATTAATGTTTAAGTACCGTATAACATGACACCTATTGAGACGGAGTCACGTGACGAATGCCCGTTCCCGTGTTCCACCTGAGGAACACTGTTCCTCATTGAGGAGTCAGCCGGTTCTTGCATAATGCTAACGTCAGTGTAGGAGGGGGGGGGGGGGCTGCAGACGTATGCGCCACAAAAGACAAGAGTGCGCTGTTTTTTTTTTTACATTTCCATGTCGGTTGTCAAAGAAGTGGCGTGTCTTTAAAATTTTTTATCAATGGGGTCTTTTGTAAAGGTGGAGTAAGGGGTGGGTGGAGAGGTGCAGCGAGGAGGGGGGGGGGGGGGGAGAGACAGAGAAAATGGTGCAAGAAAATTTAACCTGTAGCGTGTGTATTGGACTTCGTAGTTGAAGAGCGGGTTGGTAAGGTCAAGGTTATTGATTCGAATGTGGGTCTTAAACTCAACTAAAGTGAAATTTACCTGATTGTTACTTTGAGTGGGCGTGGCTAGGAAAAGTCGGATTTGATGAGTCTTTTTAGTTTTAATTAACTACTCTTGTCAATGTCGTGCCTCGTCGAATACATAGCTTGTGTACATTATTTCTTCCAAACTTTTTTCTCCGTGGGGGGGGGGGGGGCACTTTAAATTTTCGGGGGGCGGTAAACTTTCTTCGGGGGGGGGGGGGGGGGCGGACACTGTTAAAAATATATATTTTCTATATAAATTATATAAATTTCGTTCGGGGGGTGGGGGGGGGGCGGGTAAAAAAATTCGGGGGGGGGGGGGGGGTGCGCCCCCCCGAAGAGATGCCTGGAAGAAACTCTGCTTGTGTAGAGAGGGAAAGTAGCATCTAGAGTTTCTTTCAGACATCTCTTAAGCCAATTTTTTTCCCGAACGAAATTTATATAGAGGAGTTCATACACCCCCCCCCCCAGAAAGTTTTAAGTGCCCCCGACCAAGGAAAAAAGAAAGTCCGAAAGCAACTCTGGTAGCGCCAACTATAATCTATTTAAAAAAAAATCCTTCAAATGTATGATGCGGGAAAACTGTATGCGGCGGTGGGGGAGAAAAAGTAAAGCTACCTCTTCAGTTATAGAGGTCAGGATTGCAATTCAAGTAGGGTTTACTTATTTCTGTGAACTCGCCATACACGGATAGCGTTTTCAGTTACATCTTTTACATCTCCTAACTTGAGTCAGGTACCCATTTAGAGCTGAGTAAACTCTTCTTAAAGGCATCATCCACGATCCTCTATAAGGCTAAAATTCTACCTTCCGACCACGCCCTTGCACGAAGGTTATCATAAAACGTTTAATAGGGTCAGAATAAAACGTGAGTAAAAATGAGAGACTGGTCATGTGATTCCCGTACAGTGACGTGTTTCCCCACGTGAGTAATATACATGACCTTGTAAATGTCAGGTCGCCATTTGCGGCTGATGAACGTGTGGGTGAGTACAACTTGGCTCGCTAATTGTCTGGTGTACACACCTACATTCGTCTCACTTATATTTTTCATAAAATAATTGAAACGAGCCGGCCCGCGGCATAACATACGCCGCTATTTAGTTGTTTCTAATTTTCAATAATTCATAATTTGTGAATTCGACAGTACCAACGCTGACACTGAAAATATTTCTTTAAAACACTATAAGTAGCTCGTTAAGGACCATAACCCCCCCCCCCCCTTCCTTCCCTCCCCCCCTCCTCCCCCCCCCCCCTACGTTTAAAATCGTTGGCTCTGCTTGTAAACATTTAGAGTGAACACAGCTCACTAAAACCATGTAGGGGTGGGGAGGTAGGGAGAGCGTTTGCAGCTTGTTTTCTAACGGCTCGAAGAAGAGAATTATATATATAGATACGTTTAAAATCAATATTTTCAATAGTATTTTTTTTCTTTTAAATTTAAAACATCCCTAACATTCTTCTTAAAAATTTAAAAGAAACGAGTTACATCTAAAAAAAAATTCAAGTTCAAACAATAAAACTAGCTTTCGGAATCTAATAAGTTCGTAGAAAGATATTTTTCTATACAAAAGTTAATCACCTGACGATCTAAGACCTAACAGAAACAGAGCTTAAAAAATGAAAAGACCCGAGTTCGAATCCCCGGGAAGATGAGGCTCGATAGTTTGGGGACAACAACTCTTCTGGGCAGAGGCGTAGCGAGGGGGGGGGGCGGGGGGGGGGGACATATGTCCCCGGGCGCCGACCTTAGGGGGGGGGGCGCCAAATCGAAAGTTTGAGGGGGGGGGGTGCAAATGAAAAAATCGAGGGGGGTGGTGCAAATCGAAAATTTGCTCCCGAGGGGGGCGCCAAATTGAAAGTATGTCCCCGGGCGCCGGGTAGGGTCGCTACGCCTCTGCTTCTGGGAGAGACAACTCCAACAAAAGAAAAGCAGGCTGATATTGAAGTCAATGGCCTGTATGGTGTTTAACAAGTTGACACGTAATACTTAATTTGTTGTAGGAAACACCGATAGGGAGGGATATTATAGTTAGCAAATATCGATGTTTCGGGCATACTGTGAGGGTGGGGGGGGGGGGGGTGAATGGAGATCTACCGCCAGTTGTGAGGGCGGGAAAATGTAGCACCACCAAATGTAAGGGTGGGGGTGATGAAGATAATGAAAAGATCCAACACACTGTCCAAGTCAAAATATAATGTTCTTTATTAAAATTTACACAATCAACTTCCTACCTACTAATCTACACTGTACTATTACCACTACTTCTATCTAACTGTTCCCTAGCTCAACATATCTCCGACAATCTCTACCTAACTCTACATTTCTCTGCCTAACTCTGACCGTTCTCTTTGCTAGCTTACACCGCCGTCTGCGCTGATCTAACTACTGATCCACGCTCCAGTGGTCAGCTTACCGTCCCACGTGACCGGTCAACTCCTGTGTTTTCATTGGTCTGTCTAACCAACAAGCTATAGTCTGTTTCTACCATCTACCCCGAACCAGCCTCATCACACATATCCTATGTAGAGAATATGTCAACATCTCAATCGTTAGACTGGAACCGCAGGGGAAAAGAAAAGTAGACCGACCGAAGCAAATACTGGAGGAGGAAAACGGAATGAGAAGCAAAGGATGCTGGGTTTACATGTGCTCAACTAAAGAGAGCTGCCCGAAACAGAGTCCGGTGGAGAGGTGTGGCTGTAGCCCTTTGCTCCCCAGGAGAGGTATGGCTGTAGTCCTTTGCTCCCCAGGAGAGGTGTGGCTGTAGCACTTTGCTCCCCAGGAGAGGTATGGCTGTAGCCCTTTGCTCCCCAGGAGAGGTATGGCTGTAGCCCCTTTGCTCCCCAGGAGAGGTATGGCTGTAGCCCTTTGCTCCCCAGAGAGGTGTGGCTGTAGCCCTTTGCTCCCCAGGAGAGGTGTGGCTGTAGCCCTTTGCTCCCCAGGAGAGGTGTGGTTGCAGCCCTTTGCTCCCCAGGAGAGGTGTGGCTACAGCCCTTTGCTCCCCATGAGAGGTGTGGTTGCAGCCCTTTGCTCCCCATGAGAGGTGTGGTTGCAGCCCTTTGCTCCTCAGGGGCTTCACAGTTAAGTCAAAATCAATAACTGCAACAGTTATGAAAGGGGTAGTCCGTAAAAGATCAATTACTATAACCAGAGGCGTAGCGAGGGGGGGGGGGACGGGGGGTGCGGACCGCACCGGGTGACACCATTTAGGGGGATGACACCAAGGCAAAAAATAGCAAAATATATAGAGAAAAACTTGAGGGGGGTGCAAATCGAAAGTTTGAGGGGGGGGGTGCAAATCGAAAATTTGCAACTTTGTCCCCGGCAAGGTTTTCTACGCCTCTTGGGGGGGGGGGGGTGACACCATTAGTGCCGCACCGGGTGACTCCCGACCTCGCTACGCCACTGACTATAACTGTAAGGGGTAGTCCGTAAAAGATCAAGAGCTATTACAGTTAATTCGACCTTTACAAACATCACAGTGAACTGATGGTACACTATTCTAATAGGGCCTACTGGACAATTTTCACAAAACAACATTGTATGACTTTCAAAATTA